CGACCGGAGCGCCAAAGATGCCGAACTCCTCAACTGCAGTTTTTCACAAACGACATGCCAGTGCCACCCTGGTGAGGACCACGTTCGTTGTGATTGTCCTGACAGTCAACCTCGACCTCTACTTCGATCACCCGGAGTACGACCGTCCTCCCGCCAAAACGGAACAGTACACCTTCACCGCCAACCCTATTACGAACGACCTCCTTATCGAGATGTCTACAGGAACTGTCACCCAGATCATGATTGAAATCATCAACGCTAGTGCCACGATCACCAGCTCTTCGGCCACCTGTGACTTCAACATCTCGGAATTTCACGGATGCATCAATTGCGACAGCGGCGCTAACGCCTCCTACTCCTGCAAAACTGATTTTGGAACCACCACCGCCTCCCTTGACTGCTCTCAACGCACTCCTGGCCGATTGAATGCACCTACCAAGGAATCAGTAACTTAGGTCACCATCTCTCAACCCTCGTCCACCATCAACACCTCCTGCGCCCTTCACTGCAACGGAATCACCAAATCTATCCCTATCACCGGCAACCTGACCCATCTTCCGCCCATCGCTCTTCAAGTAGCTCGCACCAACTATGTCAGCGCACTGACGGAATCCGAAGGCCTCTCTCTAACCGGAATATGGGATTCCATTACATCTGGCCTCTTCTCCAATCTACGAATCCTTCTCTGCAGTCTCGCAGTCATCGCCAGTATCCTCCTTCTCTGTTGCTGCTATCTACAAGGTTGCAGCTCTCTACTTCCTCATCGCTTTCTCGCCGCCCGCGGAGGGCCGTCACCGACGACGGATACAAACTGCCGCCCGGCGGAGTGTCACCGCATCGGTGATCAGACAACACCAAATGGAATCGGTTCCCACCATGAAAGCTATAAAACGCCAACACGACCCCGCTCCACGGAATAATGATGAGACGACAGTATAAAGGCAAAACGATGTGAAATAAAGCAGAGACCAACATTTCCTAAACCCTGAAATTGCACACTGAATTCCTAAACTGCATTTATCACAACAGCTGGTATGATTCGATAGCTATGTCGACGCCATTTGGAGAGATACGCATGCGTAACCTAGGAATACGCTATTTTAAGTACCAAAAAATCATTTAACAAGGTATCGCTTCAGATGCTTCATTTTAGGCTTCGAAAAGTGAGAAAATAGCCTAGACTAGCCGCTGGTATCATTCGATAGCTATGTCGACGCCATTTGGAGAGATACGCATGCGTAACCTAGAAATACGCTATTTTAAGTACCAGAAAATCGTTTAACGAGGTATCGCTTCAGATGCTCCATTTTAGGCTACGGAAAGTGAGAAAATAGCCTAGACTAGCCGCTGGTATCATTCGATAGCCATGACGACGCCACTTGGAGAGCTACGCATGCGTAACCTAGGAATACGCTATTTTAGGTACCAGAAAATCGTTTAACGAGGTATCGCTTCAGATGCTTCATTTTAGGCTTCGAAAAGTGAGATAATAGCCTAGACTAGCCGCTGGTATCATTCGATAGCCATGACGACGCCATTTGGAGAGATGCGCATGCGTAACCTAGGAATACGCTATTTTAAGTACCAAAAAATCATTTAACGAGGTATCGCTTCAGATGCTCCATTTTAGGCTACGGAAAGTGAGATAATAGCCTAGACTAGCCGCTGGTATCATTCGATAGCCATGACGACGCCACTTGGAGAGCTACGCATGCGTAACCTAGGAATACGCTATTTTAAGTACCAAAAAATCATTTAACAAGGTATCGCTTAAGCAGCTTCATTCTGGGCTTCGAACAGTGAGAAAATAGCCTAGACTAGCCGCTGGTATGATTCGATAGCTATGTCGACGCCATTTGGAGAGATACGCATGCGTAACCTAGAAATACGCTATTTTAAGTACCAGAAAATCGTTTAACGAGGTATCGCGTCAGATGCTTCATTTTAGGCTTCGAAAAGTGAGAAAATAGCCTAGACTAGCCGCTGGTATCATTCGATAGCTATGTCGACGCCATTTGGAGAGATACGCATGCGTAACCTAGGAATACGCTATTTTAGGTACCAGAAAATCGTTTAACGAGGTATCGCTTAAGCAGCTTCATTCTGGGCTTCGAAAAGTGAGAAAATAGCCTAGACTAGCCGCTGGTATCATTCGATAGCTATGTCGACGCCATTTGGAGAGATACGCATGCGTAACCTAGAAACACGCTATTTTAAGTACCAGAAAATCGTTTAACGAGGTATCGCTTCAGATGCTTCATTTTAGGCTTCGAATGGTGAGAAAATAGCCTAGACTAGCCGCTGGTATCATTCGATAGCTATGTCGACGCCATTTGGAGAGATACGCATGCGTAACCTAGGAATACGCTATTTTAAGTACCAAACAATCATTTAACAAGGTATCGCTTAAGCAGCTTCATTCTGGGCTTCCAAAAGTGAGAAAATAGCCTAGACTAGCCGCTAGTACGATTCGATAGCTATGTCGACGCCATTTGGAGAGATACGCATGCGTAACCTAGGAATACGCTATTTTAAGTACCAGAAAATCGTTTAACGAGGTATCGCTTCAGCTGCTCCATTTTAGGCTACGGAAAGTGAGAAAATAGCCTAGACTAGCCGCTGGTATCATTCGATAGCCATGACGACGCCATTTGGAGAGATACGCATGCGTAACCTAGGAATACGCTATTTTAGGTACCAGAAAATCGTTTAACGAGGTATCGCTTAAGCAGCTTCATTCTGGGCTTCGAAAAGTGAGATAATAGCCTAGACTAGCCGCTGGTATCATTCGATAGCCATGACGACGCCACTTGGAGAGCTACGCATGCGTAACCTAGGAATACGCTATTTTAGGTACCAGAAAATCGTTTAACGAGGTATCGCTTCAGATGCTTCATTTTAGGCTTCGAAAAGGGAGATAATAGCCTAGACTAGCCGCTGGTATCATTCGATAGCCATGACGACGCCATTTGGAGAGCTACGCATGCGTAACCTAGGAATACGCTATTTTAGGTACCAGAAAATCGTTTAACGAGGTATCGCTTCAGATGCTTCATTTTAGGCTTCGAAAAGGGAGATAATAGCCTAGACTAGCCGCTGGTATCATTCGATAGCCATGACGACGCCATTTGGAGAGCTACGCATGCGTAACCTAGGAATACGCTATTTTAAGTACCAAAAAATCATTTAACAAGGTATCGCTTAAGCAGCTTCATTCTAGGCTTCGAAAAGTGAGAAAATAGCCTAGACTAGCCGCTGGTATGATCTGATAGCTATGTCGACGCCATTTGGAGAGATACGCATGCGTAACCTAGAAATACGCTATTTTAAGTACCAGAAAATCGTTTAACGAGGTATCGCTTCAGATGCTTCATTTTAGGCTTCGAAAAGTGAGAAAATAGCCTAGACTAGCCGCTGGTATCATTCGATAGCTATGTCGACGCCATTTGGAGAGATACGCATGCGTAACCTAGGAATACGCTATTTTAGGTACCAGAAAATCGTTTAACGAGGTATCGCTTAAGCAGCTTCATTCTGGGCTTCGAAAAGTGAGAAAATAGCCTAGACTAGCCGCTGGTATCATTCGATAGCTATGTCGACGCCATTTGGAGAGATACGCATGCGTAACCTAGGAATACGCTATTTTCGGTACCAGAAAATCGTTTAACAAGGTATCGCTTCAGATGCTTCATTTTAGGCTTCGAAAAGTGAGAAAATAGCCTAGACTAGCCGCTGGTATCATTCGATAGCTATGTCGACGCCATTTGGAGAGATACGCATGCGTAACCTAGAAATACGCTATTTTAAGTACCAGAAAATCGTTTAACGAGGTATCGCTTCAGATGCTTCATTTTAGGCTTCGAATGGTGAGAAAATAGCCTAGACTAGCCGCTGGTATCATTCGATAGCTATGTCGACGCCATTTGGAGAGATACGCATGCGTAACCTAGGAATACGCTATTTTAAGTACCAGAAAATCGTTTAACGAGGTATCGCTTCAGATGCTTCATTTTAGGCTTCGAAAAGTGAGATAATAGGCTAGACTAGCCGCTGGTATCATTCGATAGCTATGTCGACGCCATTTGTAGAGATACGCATGCGTAACCTAGGAATACGCTATTTTAAGTACCAGAAAATCGTTTAACGAGGTATCGCTTCAGCTGCTCCATTTTAGGCTACGGAAAGTGAGAAAATAGCCTAGACTAGCCGCTGGTATCATTCGATAGCCATGACGACGCCATTTGGAGAGATACGCATGCGTAACCTAGGAATACGCTATTTTAGGTACCAGAAAATCGTTTAACGAGGTATCGCTTAAGCAGCTTCATTCTGGGCTTCGAAAAGTGAGATAATAGCCTAGACTAGCCGCTGGTATCATTCGATAGCCATGACGACGCCACTTGGAGAGCTACGCATGCGTAACCTAGGACTACGCTATTTTAAGTACCAAAAAATCATTTAACAAGGTATCGTTTAAGCAGCTTCATTCTGGGCTTCGAAAAGTGAGAAAATAGCCTAGACTAGCCGCTGGTATGATTCGATAGCTATGTCGACGCCATTTGGAGAGCTACGCATGCGTAACCTAGAAATACGCCATTTTAAGTACCAGAAAATCGTTTAACGAGGTATCGCTTCAGATGCTTCATTTTAGGCTTCGAAAAGTGAGATAATAGGCTAGACTAGCCGCTGGTATCATTCGATAGCTATGTCGACGCCATTTGGAGAGCTACGCATGCGTAACCTAGGAATACGCTATTTTAAGTACCAAAAAAACATTTAACAAGGTATCGCTTAAGCAGCTTCATTCTGGGCTTCGAAAAGTGAGAAAATAGCCTAGACTAGCCGCTGGTATGATTCGATAGCTATGTCGACGCCATTTGGAGAGATACGCATGCGTAACCTGGAAATACGCTATTTTAAGTACCAGAAAATCGTTTAACGAGGTATCGCTTCAGATGCGTCATTTTAGGCCACGGAAAGTGAGATAATAGCCTAGACTAGCCGTTGGTATGATTCGATAGCTATGTCGACGCCATTTGGAGAGATACGCATGCGTAACCTAGGAATACGCTATTTTAAGTACCAGAAAATCGTTTAACGAGGTATCGCTTCAGATGCGTCATTTTTAGGCCACGGAAAGTGAGATAATAGCCTAGACTAGCCGTTGGTATGATTCGATAGCTATGTCGACGCCATTTGGAGAGATACGCATGCGTAACCTAGGAATACGCTATTTTAAGTACCAGAAAATCGTTTAACGAGGTATCGCTTCAGATGCTCCATTTTAGGCTACGGAAAGTGAGAAAATAGCCTAGACTAGCCGCTGGTATCATTCGATAGCCATGACGACGCCACTTGGAGAGCTACGCATGCGTAACCTAGGACTACGCTATTTTAAGTACCAAAAAATCATTTAACAAGGTATCGCTTAAGCAGCTTCATTCTGGGCTTCGAAAAGTGAGAAAATAGCCTAGACTAGCCGCTGGTATGATTCGATAGCTATGTCGACGCCATTTGGAGAGATACGCATGCGTAACCTAGGAATACGCTATTTTAGGTACCAGAAAATCGTTTAACGAGGTATCGCTTCAGATGCTTCATTTTAGGCTTCGAAAAGTGAGAAAATAGCCTAGACTGGCCGCTGGTATCATTCGATAGCCATGACGACGCCATTTGGAGAGCTACGCATGCGTAACCTAGGAATACGCTATTTTAAGTGCCAAAAGATTGCGTTATAAATAAAAAATTACGCATGCGTAGCTCTCCAAATGGCGTCGTCATGGCTATCGAATGATACCAGCGGTTAGTCTAGGCTATTTTCTCACTTTGCGAAGCCTAAAATGGAGCAGCTGAAGCGATACCTCGTTAAACGATTTTCTGGTACTTAAAATAGCGTATTCCTAGGTTACGCATGCGTATATCTCCAAATGGCGCTTGCCCCAAGCGAGTGGCGCGGGTTCGCTTTTGCTGCGCGGCGAGCTCCTACCGTAACCCTGTTTGCCATCCCGCGGACGGTTACCGGCCGGTAAACCAAACTAACGAGACTTTAGTGTACCTTTAAGGTCGCCGCATCTTTCTGACCTTCTTTTGTCTTGTTCTGTTTGTTCTTGGCTGCATTTTTTGGCCATTGGGAACCTCCCGAAAAATATTTATCGAACCGAGTATTGAAACACACCGAGCACAGAAAATAGACGAGAGGAATGGATTCCGATGGACGACATATTAGGGGGGAAATATACAAAAAAACCAAGAAGAGACGTGCTGGAGCTAGAGACGGAGAGGAGACCCAAACAAAACCCTATGGGCTCGAGGAAATCGGGGGGTGTACGGCGGAGGACATAATGAACGATCGAGAGATGAGGACGTAGTACTATAGATGAGGTAAGGCTGGAGGTTAAATGGCCGTTGAGATGTTGCGACGAAGTGGATGTTATGCTCGGATTTTTGCAGATCCGTGGCCGATTCGTGGCGCAGCATTGCATCCCGGATCATTAGCGGCGACCCTGAAAGGCAGAAAATCAAAAATCATCAAATGACGACCAAATTTTGGATTCTATGAGCTGATTATCCCGTTTGCGGTCCTGTAGGATTGCCCGGTGGATCAACTTTTTTTCGACGCAACCGTAATTTTTTTAGACAGATTATTGCTAGTCTACATTCACTTGAGATCTTCTTGGACATAAAAACCTTGCAAATTAGACACAAAAAAGATCAAATATTTAGTAGATTTTATTTGAAATTTTCATAGAAAAACGAACAATTTTCGACTTTTGAAACAATTTTTTAGCGTTGGGCTTTCTACTTTGCGTATCGCTAAAAGACCGACTAGATACGAGTTAAGAAGACTTTATACACTAGGCCAAGCTGGCACGCCAGGAAAAAAATTGATGCCCGGCAATCCCAAAGCACCCTTTCCGCCGCTAACTTTTCTGGCTTGGAGTGTAGGGATTTCTTCCCCGTCCCTACCTCGAAAACGACAGGCGAGTGATGTTGGAGGCGAGAAGGCAGCAATTGGAGCGAGCGGACGCTGTTATTCGGATCGGAAGGCGGGCAGGAGGTCTCGTCGGAATCCCTTGGCTTCGAGGTTTGCGATAAGATGCTGGCGGCAACGCACTGAAAAAAAGCGGCGTTCAGGGTCAGTGGCCGGCGATAGGGTGCTTTCAGGTTAAAGAGATCAGGCGGCCCGTGTCTCGTCGTCTCATCTGCAGGGTGTCGCAATAAAAAGAAGCCCCCCTCTAACTCGCCGAATCGGATCGGAATATATATCGGATCAGAATGGTAGTTACACCGTTCGAAAGCCCTTGAAACGGCCAGCTTGCAACAATCTTCAAAACCATGTTTTTATTAAGTTAGCTATTTCACCAGCTTTTTTGTAAAACGTTGACGCTTTTCGGGGCTGCATACGGGCCAATTTGCCTTAAATTCTCGTTACAAAATGACCGTAAGTAGCCGTTAATTGGCTTTTTATGTGTTTTTTGTGGGCCGAAAAACCATATTTAAAAATCGTTTATCATTAAAAAAACTTTGATGGTCCCCCATGATCCGATGTGTAACTACAAGTCTATAAAAACGGTAAACTTTTAATTAATGGACCCGCACGACCTCCCCCGCTAAAATCACCGCCCCCCGATAACCTGGCAGCACCCCCGATAGCGGCAGATTTGACTGGCAACCTACCCTTAGAACAAGGATCCTCCGAGCAGGGCTTCGTCTCCCCGTTCAACAATTTTTCGATGGCATGTCTGGAAAAGTGATGTTATAGCCAAGAATTCTAGCTTTGCAAATACACTTTTAGACCAAAGCCCACCTATAGGAGGCACGACAGTCAGGGCAGGCCACGGGTCCGTAGGCTCGAGTCAATTTTTGTGTCTTCTCACAATTGCAGCATTGTGAATTCTGTAAAAACTGTCATTAGTGAAACGAAAGATCGTCCATGAGTGTCGTTTTCGGATCAATCGCTCATTCATATCTCTTCTTAATGCGTGGAACATATCAATATGTTCGCCCTAGCCGAGTTACCCCAAACCAGTTTTTCCTGATGCTAAAAATTTCTATAAAAAGATTTTACAAGGTTTTAAAATGTGAAAGAATTAAAAGGCCGTTTGCCAGAGACCCGAACAAGCCTTGTCACAGTTTTTTTCGACCCCGTTTTTTTGATGCCATGTGAAAGAGCATGGTCGAATTAGTGGTGTGGTGCTATTTTGAGATTTTTAAAAGTTTATTTTCTGGGTTTAAATGGGCGTTAAAGTTGAAAACCTTGAAAAATTATCTCGACAACTACTGAACCAAATTGCTTCTAATTTTCAGACAATAACTAATTTGGGACGCTGATCATTTTTGTCATACGTTGTAAAGCACGAAAATAGCCGGAACGTAGGAATACTGTGTACATAGAAAGGTTTTTCGCAATTTTCTATTTAATGGGTATGCGTCGCCACTCTAGAAATACCCTTAAAAGATGCGCAATTAAATTCTGCGTCGAATCATGTATTTTTCAGCGTGGCGACAGATACCCATTAAATCGAACAATGGCTTTTAAAGACTCAAAAGAAAAAAAATTGCGTATTCTCGAAAAGAAAGACACTTTTACGTATCTAGAGACCAAAACAAAACGATTGCAAAAAAAGAGCAAAAAGAAATTCGATTTCTACAAGGGGGCTGGGATTGAACTCGGGTCGTTCGCCTGGGACCTGGCGGCGCCCACTAGTGGCTGTCTCCAGTGTCCCCAGGCGGACCAACGCGGGTTCGATTCCCCACCGAGCCCAATTTCGCGTAGAAACCATATTTCTTTTTGCTCTTTTTTGTAATGTACTTGCCTACTCCTTTAGAGTCGATTGAAATCCGCCGATTGTCAAAATACAGTATTTTTATGTTTGCGGAGCCATTTTAGTTGTTTTTAGAAATGTCCTTTTTTCGATTTAATGGGTATCTGTCGCCACGCTGAAAAATACATGATTCGACGCAGAATTTAATTGGGCATCTTTTAAGGGTATTTCTAGAGTGGCGACGCAAACCCATTAAATAGAAAATTGCCAAAAACCTTACTATGTACGCGGTATTCCTATGTTCCGGCTATTTTCGTGCTTTACAATGTACTACAAAAATGATCAGCGCGCCAAATTAACTATTGTCTGAAATTTTCAAGCAATTTCGTTCAGTAGTTCTCGAGATAATTTTTGAAGGTTTTCAACTTTAACGCCCATTTAAACCTAGAAAATGAACTTTTTAAAATATCAAAATAGCGCCACCCTGCTAATTCGACCATGCTCTTTTACATGGCATCAAAAAACGGGGTCGAAAAAAACTGTGACAAGGCATCATGGGGGCTGTTCGAGTGACCGGCGGACGGCCTTTTAAGTCGCCATGCTTCAGTGTACCAGGGGTTTCAAGCTCTAATATTTTCTGTTGTCGCTATTTTTCCGTTTCAAAAGTACTGTGGTCTGATTCTACAGATCAAAGGCTCCATTTTGGTACCATTGACAGCTCTGTTGGCCTAAGGAGCGCCGAGATATGAAAACTCACTTTGGACTAGGAAAAATTAGTTAAAGAAAAACCCAGACTTATAATTGTCATAAAAAATTTTTAGTCTTATTTTCCACAATCCAAAAACGTTGTTTATAGTGGCTCAAGTCTAGGAAACCCCCCCCACCCCAGCCACAACCTGCAGCCATGCGTCCTATTAATGCGCCGAGTATCTCAAAATGTTCGCCGTGGTCGAGTTACTATAGAAAAGTTGTTTCCATACACCACAAATTGTTAGAAAAATTTTTATAACAATTATAAGTCTGGGTTTTCTTTAATCAATTTTTCCTGGTCTAAAGTGAGCCTTCGTATATCGGCTATCTTTTGTCCTACAGAGCTGTCAATAGTATCAAAATTTAGCTCTTGCTCTGTAGAGTAAGGCTACAGTACATTTGAATCGAAAAAAATAGAGAAAAAAGAAAATAATGGATTTTAAACGCTTAGTACATTGAGGTGAGGCGCTTTATATTTGACATTTCAAAATCTTGTAAAATTTTTCTAACAATTTTTGATGTATGTAAACGTCTTTACTATAGTAATTCGCCCACGGCAAACATTTTGAGATACTCCACGCACTAATAAGACGTATGGCTGAAAAGTTACGGCTGGGGGGGGGGGGTTTCCTAGACTCGTACCTTTATAATAATTCGACCATGGCGAACATTTGTTTAAATACTCAGCGCAGTAATAAGACGTTTGGCCGAAAAAACTCCTAGACTTTACCAGCGAATTCGCCCCCCCCCTGGTCTAATGGAACAGCACCCCATTTTCAACTAGGTCAAAAGCATTCGGTTGTTTGGCAGAAAGAAATGACGGTTACCTCAACGTATTCGGCGGGTCGTCCCCTTTGTGGAGGATTTGGTTGTGGGCCCTGCACGTCCTGCCCCAGTCGCTGAAAACTGTCAGTTGACTCGAGGATTCTTAGTTCTAGAGTTTTTGGCACTACACTGCATGGTGTTCGAAAAAAACCTGCAAATTTTCTCTCCCCCGAGTATCGTCAATTTTTTGAATTTTTCGGATTTTCGAGAATTTCGAGTTAGCGGCTCATTGAAAAGAGAAAAATTTTTGAATACCATAGCGATATATTTGTTTTTGCAAAATCGACCGGGAAGATAAACATAATCAAGCTCGAAGTTTGACGCTTTTAACCAGAGGATCGCTTTAAAAGTGGCATATCTCGAGTTTTAAAGATCCTCGGGCTCTCCTAGTAAGCCAAAAAGGTGTCACAGACCGAATTTTCTCTAATATACCCGTTCCCCCTGTTAAAAAATCCTCCGAAAAAGGTTCAAAATAGTATTTAATATTCAAGAAATGCTAAAATTGTATGTAATTTAGCGCTGCGCTGCGTTCCTGAAAATGAGTCGCGTGGCTATGGTTTTGGATTGAAAGCCGTTCGCATCTTTCTGACCTTCTTTTGTCTTGTTCTGTTTGTTCTTGGCTGCATTTTTTGGCCATTGAGAACCTCCCGAAAATTATTTATCGAACCGAATATTCAAACAAACCGAGCACAGAAAATGGACGAGAGGAAGAGAAACCGATGGATGACATATTAGGGGGAAATATACAAAAAAAACCCAAGAAGAGACGTGCTGGGGCTAGAGAATGAGACGACCCAAAAAAAAAACCGTATGGGCTCGAGGAATTAGGGGGTCTACGGCGGGGGGCATGACGAACGATCGAGAGATGAAGACGTAGTACTATAGATGAGGTAAATGCTGGAGGTTGGGGTGTTTCTTTGTGTGTGTGCGGGTGGATGTCACTTTCGAAGCCCAACTTGAGGCCCTTCTCGTGCATAAAATACCCTAATTCTCGGTCAGCAGGGGGGACCAACCCTTTTGTTTCCGATGGAGTTTTCTGAATCCCGCTAAAATACAAGCTTACAAAGTTGAAGCCGGTTTTATCGCTTTTTGGAGTCGGGTAGGGCTAATTTGCATAATGTGGAAAAATAAATTTCTTCATTCTTGCCAGTTGCACTCGCGATTGTGGTCGGGAGCGGGGATGAGCCCGAAGAACCCCGGCTATCGGAAGGTCATATTCTTCATTCAAAGGCCGCATTCCAGCGCGCAAGGCCTGAGAAGCGGGTTTGGGGCGCTGGTAGAGAGATAATTTTATTTTGCTCTGAAATCCGGTAGCCAGGGTCGGTGCTCGTGGATTTGTTCGTCAGGTGAAAATGTTTGGGTAGTAGGGTATCCATTTAGCTCTGTAGATCTATGAAAGTTCGCACGGCAGGCACGTTTTTTGCGGAGCCGGTGTGGGAAAAGCTGAGTTGCCTTGAAACAAGGAGATGACTGCATCGCCACAGAATGGGCTTTATCACAGAACGGAGCACAGTCTAGTAATTCACATGATGAGGCGATTATCGAATTGTACGAAAAGAGGATCACGTAAAGATCGATGATGATGTAACCGAGGGGAATCACACACATTAACGTATTAACGTAGGGCACGGAATGTTTTTTGTTTAAGTTGAGCGGATCGGAGGTGGCGGCATGTCGGACATCTAGCGTTTCGGCTTCTGCTTCTGTTTCTGCAATGCAGTCAATAAACAAGCGCTGATGGCAAGAATGACTTCTTTTCACCACGCAATGTTTTCCGACTTTTCCGACCACACATGCGCGTGCAACTGGCAACAATGAGGAAATTTCCATTTTTTGGTATTATGCAAATTACCCTCGTCGAAAATCTCAAAATTTAATACAATTTTGTCGTGTATCTTTGTCTGTCTGTGTGTGTTTATAAAATACAAGTTCACGTTGTAAACTTGTATTTTATAAACACACACACACACAGCCAGACAAAGATACACGCCAAAATTATATGAAGTACGATAACTTTTTAGCAACCGGAAATTATTCAAACATCTGTCGAAATCGATATCTTTGATCAACAGGTCGAAAATAAAAATCCCTTGCAAAAACTTCCGCCCGCTAACAGTCCAGTACGTAGAAGCCTATGGAAACCGCCCACAGATAACCGAAAAAACTGTTTTCAAGAAAATTTGAAAATTTGTTGGGTTTTGGTATAACAAGGAGCAGTGAGGCTTTAATGTTTCCCGTGCTTTAAATTTACGTTAGAGGTACTCCGGTCTTGAAATGCCTACAGGGGCCGGATTTGGAGGGCGGACGGGCCGAGGACGGAGCCGGGGCAGGTCTTGTCCGGCGTCATCCTGCACGAGCCCTGCCAGGTTGTCTCCATGGCGCTGGAATATAATGTGATAAATGTGGCAAAAATTGCGGCTACACTACTACGTAAGGTTGTTGAATCGACGCGAATTGAAAGGCTCGAGTATCAAAATAAATTGGTATTTACCATCCGGGCGATCTGGGCCGCGGGTTCAGCCACCGGGCGCACAATCGCCTCGACGCTGCGGCGCAGCCGCGCGACGAGGCCTCCTTGTTGTTGCGGGGCCTGCAAAAATCCTACTATATCCTACTATATATAAAAAAATAGTGTTTGTGTGTGTGTGTGTGTGTGTGTGTGTGCCACTTTGCATCCACTTCCGTCTGTCTGTCCGGAGGATATCTGAAGAAGGGACGGGTATTAGGCTACGTATGATACGTCATTAGGTGCGTAATGGTCTAGGGATGACTGCACACATATCAGTTTTTTAAAAATTAGCCATTTTCGCTATTAAATTTAGGTTTTTGTAAAAACCTCTTTGTTAGGAATAATTAGCATAGACCGGAAGTGGGCCGTCGCCTATATAAAGGGGCAGAAAGGGTTGTTTTTCATTTTTTTTTGTCTTCTGAATGAAAGACAATTATGCAAAGGGCAGAATAGTATGGGGTCCGAGACGGGGCCAGGGTTGAAAAGTCGCGAAGCGGCTTTTCAACCCTGGTGTTCATAGAAAAACATTTTCCGTCTACACCTAGAGTCTATGCACTAAAGAAAGACATTTACCGGCTGTCCGTTTTCGGGTCGTTCTTGGCCGTCGCCAGGCACTTGTTGAGGAAGCCGAGGGGCAGAGTTTTGGATGGCGGTGTGAAGCTCAGGAGACTGAAAAAGGAAAATAATTATAATGTTACGAGTCATTTCCGGTTTTTATGATTTCTACATCCATCGAAAGCTCTCGACGAGCTGAGGAGATAAGTTTTCGCCGATTTTCGAAATTCCCAGCATTTTTTGCATTTACTAAGGTCATTGGGGGCAGGACCGAATTTTCGTTGCTTTTCCCAAGCAAATAGTTGTTAACAAAACCCTCCTTTTGCAAATTCCACACCTTTCGTGGCAGCCCGACGGCAGCTTTTGGTTCTTGTGTATTCCGGGGGGGGTGACCGAACGTTTTTTTGTCGGCCCTGTTGGGATAGTAATCAAAAATAAAGTGTTTTCACATTGTTTTTAGCAAAATTTAAGCCTATTGGAATAGGAAAAACTTTTTAAAAAGTTTGAAAAACTCTTGAAAAAGTAGAAAATTTGGTCATTTTTGGGCCGAAAAAATCGATTTTTCGACCTAAAATGAAATTTTTTAATTAAATTTCGTAAAGTTTTCATTTTTAGGAATAGCTATAAACAATTTAGAAACACTTCCGCTATTTATATAAAAAATCTAGGCTTGGGCCGAACAAGTTCGGTTTCCCCCGGGAATACACAAGAACCCAGCTTTTTGAAAGCCATTTGAGAAAACACAGCTTGAACCGAGCTGAAGCCGATTAAATTGAGTTTTAAAGAAAAATGTAAACTTTAACAAAAAAAATTTGATAAAAATCGAGCTAAAAATTCGGGAATTGGAAAATTGGCGAGAACATATTTCCTCCGCTTGCAGCTTTCGATAGATGAGGTGTGCTTTCCGTAACACCGTCCGAGGTGATACGGTACCCCAATTTGTGGCACTTACAATCTCCACGTGCTGACGAGGCGGATGGTTGTGGATGGGCGGGGGCGTGTTGGAGCGAGCACGAGCCTGCTGGAAAAGCGCCGATTTTTCCGATATCCATACACTAATTGCGGTTCTGGACTGTTAGCGGGGGGGGGGCGGTCGGTAGGGGCGAAACCAAGGTTTTCCCAGTTAGTTCGCACGGGCTCTACAATGAAAAATGAGCCATTTTTTAGAGATTTTGATGGTTTTTAGATAAGAACCAGGGTTGAAAAGCCGCGACGCGGCTTTTCACCCCTGGCCTTTGCGCGGGGATCTTAAGACGTTGGGCACTTTGCATAATTCTAGCGAATTAGTCCGGCTAAAAAAAGGCGACCGACTGAGAGCGTGACAAAATCCAAAATGAGCCTCATAGGGCCTCGTATGCAAATGAGGGCATTTCCATATGTTTTTAAAACACTAAAATAAGGTATAAATCGTCATTTTCTTAAAAATCTGATAAGCGTGCAGTAATCTACGCCCTCGAATACCCCTAAATACCTTTCTACTGGGCCCGAAAAACCTTCCCCCTTCGCGATATCTTGGTAACCCGGTTTTTTCGAGTCATTTATGCAAAGTGTCCACAGACACACACACAGACACTACTTTTTTATATATAGTAGGATGATTTAGGAAAATTTATAAAATTTTCAAAAAAATTTTGACTGTTCGGCCAAAAATGGATAAAAAATCTTCAAAACCAGCCAAAAAATTCAACATTTTTGAGTTTTTTTTGTGAACATTTTTTAAACTATAACTTTCTAGCGTATTATATATTATGAACAGGTACAGGGGCAAAAAGTGTCTTCCCCCCCTGCTAAAATTATTAAAAATAACTAATTCGCTGCTAAAAATGGGCGATTTTCGGAAACGCGAAAGCTACGCGACGCTACGCGATGCTTCTGATTCGAGCTAGAAGGGGTGTTTTTTTGTACAGTTTATGCAGTCAATTTTAGGTATGTTTCCTGAGCCGGGTGACTGGTTCTCGACAGGTGGCACTTTATCACTCCCCTTGTCGGGAAAACAAACCCCAAATGTCAAGGCTCTGTCTGGATCATAAAAGCAATTGAAATTTACCGGCGAAGCTTCCTGACGGAGACGAGGATGATGCTGCGGGGGCTGCCGGGCCAGTCGCTGCTGGTAGATGGGGGATCGGGAATTCTGGGTGGGTGAAGGCGGTGGCGACGGGGTGCGGGGGGGCATCTGCAAAGTGTTTTTAAGCTTGTTCCCCCACGCTCAAAGCGCGCGCTCACGGAGTTGGACGAAGGCGCCTATGGACCGCAGCGGCCGTGTCTCTTTGCCGCAGTCTCTACGCTTGGAATAGGCGTATACGTCCAACTCCCCGAGCATGCGCTGTAAGCGCAGACAGCCACAAAATTTATGATTCGTTTTTTTTCAAAAAAAAAATGCTTTTTGGCTCCTAAAAATGGGTGATTTTGACAAAAGCGTAAGTTTCGCTGCCGATACTTTTGATTCGAGATAGAGGGGGTGTTTTTCATTGGAACGGAATTATGGCAAGTCAATTTTGGGTATATTTCGTTAATGCATGACTAGTTCTGAGCGACAGGTGCCGAAAATTGGCTCTTTTACGCTCCCTTGGTCGGCAAAAATCACCCCAATTTCAAGGCTATGGATCATAAAAAGCAATTAAAATTTACTTGTCGAGCGTGTTGCGGGTTTGGGCGATCATCCGTCACCGGGCTGAGCGAGCGGGCCGTGAAGGAGGTAATTGTGGGGCTCGTCGGGTAGCGGGCCGTCGTCTGCAAAATGACCATCATACAATGCCGCGAACGGCACCTAATCGATTAGCCTTAAAACCAGGGTTGAAAAGCCGCTTGGCGGCTTTGGAACCCTGGTCCCGTCTAGGACTTATAAAATTATTGACTTTGCACAATTCTCGCCGAAAACCGATCTCCAAGAAATGAAAACCGGGCCGTCCCTCCCTTCCGTTCTATAAGCTACCCCCACTTCGGGCACATGCTATTTGAAGAGGGTGGACGAGAATTTTACAGAGACCTACTTTTAAGAGCGGAAACCACAATTTTTCTTTTTATGGTGTGCAGGCGTTTCCGGAACCGTCGTTACCTAGCGACATTTCTTCCCTATCAAAAAAACTCGAGGTTTTCCTGCGCTTTTCGCTTTTCCCTTTTCTCTGCGTCGTTCGCGCCACGAATCGGCTATGTAAACCGACTACGAAAAGTCCAAAAAGTCCGCTCAGAAATAAGCTATCTACGTTTACACCCGCCTTACCCCTTGGGGGCTCGCCGTCCCCACGCGCCGCAGTTCGAATTCAGGATATATAAAGATGCCCGCGCCGTCCGCCGGCTGTAACAAAAGTATAATACAACGAAAATGCCGGTTGACATATTATTAAATAAATTATTATATTAAAAATATTTTCAAATAGGTTTTTTGGGCTACAAAAAAGCTCTTAGTATATTTTCAGACCTTCTATAGAATGGCATTTTTAAAATAGCGAAAATATCCAAAACGCCTAAAATATCCCCCTGTTATACTATATGTGCTGCCCATATCGCGTGTCCCGCTTCGCGACTTTTCAACCTTGGCGCTCAGACCGAAATTAGCTTATTTTAAACAATCCGCCATGTGAGCAGTCGTACCTAAATCATTACGCACCGTAGGCACATTACGCATATGCAAAGTGGCACACACACACACACACACACACACACACACACACACACACACACACACACACACACACACACACACACACACACACACACACTACACACACACACACACACACACACACACACACAGACAGTATTTTTGTGATATCTATAGTGGGATAATGCTGAGAGGCTGAGAGGCCCGTCCCCGTTATTGCCGCCCCCCTTGCCCGTTACCCTATAGGACCCTCGACCCTTTCGCTGGATGCGTGCACTCGAATTTGAAATGGACCACCGACCGGGTCGGGCTCGACAGTGATTTCCTCCGGGTCGGCGGGCGCCTCTGGCGGCTGAGGCGGCTGCGCGGGCGCAGCAGCAGGAGCAGGTAGCACAGGAGGAAGCGGCTGCACGTCAGGTGGTTGAGCAGCTGGTGGAGGCGCGGCCGGTGGGGGCGCAGCCATGGGTTGGCCATCAGCGACCGGCGGCTGCAAGGATTTCATTACTGATGAAACTGTAAAGAACTGACTACAGGGTGTCCCAATAGAACACCCCTCCACCGCTAACACACGACGGAGAAAGGCCGGATCGGAATAATATTTACACCATTCAAAAACCCTTGAAACCGAGCGTCTTTAAAGAAACATTTTAAACTTCACAATTTTATAAACTCGGTCCACGCTATAGCAGGCAGTCCTATCCGCGCCTTAGGAAACTACCCTGCCTGCTATAGCGTGGGCCGAGTTTATAAAATTGTGAGGTTTAAAAAAGGCCCTGTCCTCTCTCGATCTGATCGGCGGGTTTTGTGTTCGCGTTGCCGCGCACAATGCCAGGGTTCGAGCCCTGGCCGTGGCATGGGCTTTTTGTTTTTTGATTAAAAGCTGGGAGTTGATTGTTTCTTTCAAAGAAATCAGGGATTGGGCTGTACCTGTTTCAGGGGCAGGCTTTTGAACCATTCTTCCGGGAACTGGATGGCCAGCTTGTCGCGTTGTTCTTTGAACTACAAGAAAGGGTTTTTTCGCATTATCGGGGGGGTTTTTCCATGGAATCGTTTTTTAAATACAGTGTGTCCCAAAAAAAGCCTCGGCTATTTCGCCGTCATCCATCCGATCGGCCCCAAAATGGTACCAGAAGTATATCAGACCCGCAATAAGCACCATTCTGTATACTTATATCCCCAGAGCTATAGTACTGCTCGAGTTATAACAAAATGTATTGATTAATCTGAATACGGAAAAAATTGCTTTAGGCAAAGGAGTCACTTTTCCTGAATATTTGGAGGCCGATCCCACCGTAACCCTTCGAAACACGTAACAGAAGGTTGGTTGTCACCATAACTTGTGAACCAATGTAGCAATCGGGTCAGGTGGATTGGTGTTATTTAGGGTCTGATACACCTGTCCTAATTTTTGGGACGGATCGGAAGTGTACGGTAAAATGCCGAGGGGTCGCCTTTTTGGGACAGGCTGTATAAATGGCGGAAGTGTTTCTAAACTGTTTTTTACTATTCCTAAAAGTAACACCTTTCCAAAATTGTATTTAAAAACACCAGAAAGGGTAGCAGTTTCGACCAAAAATGGCCCTTTTTGGGCAAATCTTCAACATCTTGAAAAAATTTTCGAAGTTTTTCGATAGTTTTTTAGTTTTTTTTTGCTAAAAACATTATACAAATACTTCCTATTAAGTTATTAGGAATTTCTGGACTGATACCAAAAAATATCCCCCCGATAATGCGAAAGAACCCAAGAGAGCCCAGCGGATATTATATCGGCCAAAACTTCTTACGGCCTTCTCCCGTTTGGCACATGATGTTTTCGCCTGCTCCACCGCCGATTTTTGGCTTTCCGCCTGGAAAGAACAGGAAATTGTAGAAAAACAAAACCTAACCGTCTTGCTTATCTTCTCGACAAGCTGCAAGAATCTGGTAGTTGCGTTGCGTATGGCCGTGGTGGCGTGTACATCATTGATGTAGGCCTGAAATCGCACGGAAAGCATGGACTGAATGGTTCTTGGCTACATGTAACGATACTAAAACAAATGCCAAGTTACTCACTCTATCCACCGTCGTATCGTTGCAGGCCCCTGACAGACCAGCGTCGACGCCGACGAGTTCTTGGGTGGCTATCGCCTAGGCGAAAATCGATCAATTGGCAAATGAATGTGAAGCGTTTTCAAGGGGGCCCGCAGACAAAGAGCCTTCCTTCGCATTATCGGGGGGGATTTGTTCTTAGAAATCAAATTTTTTAATATAAATAGCAGAAGCGTTGCTAAACTGCTTACTACGATCCTTAAATGTAAAAACCTGGCAAATCTTTAGTTGAAAATACAAAAAAATATAGATTTTTCGAAAAAGGGCCGTTTTTGCCCAAAAATTCCGCCTTCTACAAAAAATTTCAAATTTTTTAGCTAGTTTTTCTAATTAGAATACAATTTGTCATTGCTAAAAATTATAAACAAGCTTGCTAATGAGTTATCTAAGCTAGTGCAAGACTAATCCAAGAAAATTTGTGCCCCCCCCGTTAATGCGAAAGAGCCTGTATTTCCTCTCACCCAAGCCGAGGGGTTGTAGTATGCCTGCGAATCCTCAAGAACCAGAACCAGACTCTATGTTTAATCCTCAACTGGCTGATGTCTGTACATAGCTATTTTCTAACTGGGTCAAAAGTAGCATATTTTTGCCATTGTTTTGCACTATCTTCCCAAAAATTTCCGAAGCTCATCTACGCACACGAATAGAAATAGCTCACCTCGGGAAGCCTCGGATCACGAGCAGGTGGCCGGAGATGGACTTTTGGCACTGTTTCGTTCATTTCGAGCGCTGCAAAAAGTTTTGTAATTTCTTTAGCTTCAACATCACGCCATCGTCATGTGTAGCCGATGTATGATCGAGAAATACAGTATGCCCCAAAAAAAGGCCCACTCTAACGGCCCGCAGTCATGTCCGGTTTTTACGATTTCTACATCCATCGAAAGCTCTCGCCGAGCTGACAAGCTTGTGAGGCGATAATTTTTCGCCGAATTTGAAACATCCCGAACTTTTCTTACATTTGCTAAGATTTTTGGGGAAAGGACCGATTTTTCGTTGCTTTTATGAAGCAAAGGATTTTTAACAAAAAAAAAACTCATTTAGCAAATTTCACACCTTTCCTGGCCACCCAAGAGCAGGTAACACAACTTGCATGGAGTTGAAGCCGATCAAATTTGGTTTTTGGGCAAAAACGTGTAATTTTTGCATGAAAAATTCCGAAGATGAGCGAAAAATTCCGGAATTTCAAAAGTCGGAAAGAAATCATCTCCGCAGTTGGTTGAGGGCTTTCCATTGACACCCAAGGCGTAAAAATGGGACATGACCGCTATATACCGTGGGTTAATTACGGGGCAAAATAATGTTATATACAAGAGTCAGAGCAAAAATTTCTGAATTTGACCGCGGCGTAGGTTTTTGGCCCCCGGCCTGATGAAGCAGTACCAGACAGTGGAAATATTTTGGGCGCTAAATCGCGTATTCGGAAAAGACCCAAAAATAGCGCCAAGCCTTATTCACGTGAGTTGCAAACGAGCTTTCAACACCCACACATCCGCGCTCCTCCGCTGTGGGCGGTCAGCACGTTCACGTTGTGTGCGTGCTAGAAACATTGGTAATCGAGGGCTGTATTCTAACCCTCTGCTTCTCACGCGCCAGATCATCAAGCCGCCTCTCGCTCTGGTAGTGGGTTCTCCACCGCTGAAATGGTTCCAATAAGTGGTTCAGCAAAAGGACCAAAAGGGCAACCATTTAAAGTATCGTTGGGACTTCGACAGGGGACGTAGACTTTCGAGTGCCAAAATTTTACGCTGTTTCCAAAGTTGCTTTCAAAAGAATTTTTAGGACCCGATTGTGCGTTTGCAAATAGCGGGGGTGTTTCTAAATTGTTAAGGCTAAAGTCTAAAGGCTAAAGTCCGGCGAGACCCCCGAGAGGAAAGGCGTCAGAAGGGCGCGCAATAGGTGGCTGGGGGACGGGCGTTCTGAGACTACGATGCTACTATTTCTAATGTGCGACTGCAATTCTAGAAATAGAAAGAATTATTTTTTTTGAACAAAATCTTGGTTTTTACCAAGATTTCGACTCTTCACAAAGTTTTTTGGGGTGTGACCTGGTTTAAATTTATTTAAATTTTAATTAAAAAACTAGTGTTCGCAGAAGGAGAGCCCTGGACCCCTCCAGAAGGAACTTTTGAGCGCTTACTGCGTCAACATATTGGGCCATTATCTTCTGGATCTCCAGGTAGGTGGCGATCAGGCTCGTCGTGTCTTCTTGTACTTGCGTGCCGTATCCCTGAAAAAAAATAATTTAGCCGCCGAGCGCGTGGCTTGCGCCGGGTGAAGCACCGAAGGTAAAATTGCGCACCATTTCTCAAAAAGTGGCGGATCGGACGATACACGTGTGTTAGTAAAGTGGTTGTTGAACCGAGGATACGTCGAACACAGATCGAGCTGCAACGAGTTGCGATACTGTGACCACAAAGCTATAGCCCCGAAAAAAAATTGATTGACGCCTTGCTATACTCATTTTTTTCACTTTCAAATTTCAAGGGGGAAGAACTATTCCAAACATTCAAAAAAGCGTCTAAAAATTGTCATTTCGGGGGAAATTTGAAAAAAAACCGAAAAATTCATGGTACTGGACTGTTACCGGGGTGCTAGCGGAAGTCCAAGTTTTACCAAGTGACTCTGTGCGGTCGCATACCCATTTGTAAACCAATTTCGTAGTATTTTGTAAAGTTTTCGATATTCAAAGCTCATAAAAAATTATAAAAATTTTCGGAAAATTGTTTTTTGGTCAAAAAGTCATCAAAAACTATCAAAAAAACACGGTTAAAGGATTTTTGTAATTTTCTTGCATTCAAAAACTAATAAAAAACATTACAAAAAAACAGTATTTCATACAAGGATCGGCTGAGAAACAAAATTTACTCTCCCTGCCCAACTGTCTCAGTATTTAAATTCATTCCACACATATTTCGTGTGTTCAAAGAGAGAGATTGGGCAGTGTGAGCCATGGCGAAAAAAAGTACCCCGTCCCTATTTTGCCAAAGAACTGGGAAGAATTTACCGGAAAGTGACAAACGAGCGAACGACAAGAAGAAGACGCACGCCGATGATGGCGAACAAGGCGAAGAGTAGGCTGAACGATGCAAACTTGTTGTGGTTCGTCGCTCAAAATAAGATTTGATGTACGGGGCCTGCTCCAAAAATTCTAGAAAACAAAAAACAAAAGCTAGCGCAAAACCGGGAGGGGTCTTTTCAGCCCAGATAGTGCCTAGTGATGTAAAAGATTAAAGAGTTTTTTTTCTGAAATCCAGCCTGTTTGAAATGGGGGAACTCTATTTCAAGCCCTCAAAATAGGTCCGAAGGAAAGGCGGAAAATCAAAACAATTAGTGAAGTGAGAGAGAGAGGAGAGAGAGAGAGAGAGAGAGAGAGGGTGGTAGGTAGAGAGAGAAACGGAAAATGAAATAATAATATAAACCCAAACGGTTTTTGGAAAGAGTCAGAATTTCTGGGAAGGGTTCAGAAATTACCACTTGGGAAGAAGGCGGCGCTTTTCACGGTAGTTGACTGAGTGACACCGAGTTGTAGATTTGGCCGAAGGTGGTGCTGACGAAGATCTACTCTGAAACAAGTTTTGATATATTTGATCACAAAAAGTCTAGCGAAAAATCAATCATTTTGGGGAGCATCAAAATTTTTGGAAAGGATTCAAAAATCACCGAACTCCGCCTAGCGAAGCGAACTCGATGTAGAGGCACGGGCCGAGGGGCGACGGACGTGGCGATGGAGACGGTAGCGCCGAACGGTTCGAGATGTAGTCTGAAGCGCCGCCGCCATATGTTGATCACAAAAAATCTAGCGAATAAAAAAGTAAGCTTTCGCAAAATCGGGGCGATGGTTTTATCGGCCCCGATACGTTTGTTAACGTGAATAAAAGGAAGCACGCAAACAGGCGCGAATCCAAATTAGAGGATTTGACCAAAGACGCTCCAAACGCCCTTTTTAATCTCGAAGCCCGGGAGAGCTGGCTGTAAGTCCAGGTGACTGTCTAAGTCGGCTTAGCTTCATTAAAACGAAGCCTAAGCCTAGCTGAAGCCAAGTAAAGCTTGGTCGTCAGCTAAGCCCTATCTAATGCCTATTTGGGCCTGTGGGCAATCTGGAAACGTGCAAGATAAACTCAGTTAGTCCACTCAAGTCTGGGCTCCAAACGATTTTAATAATGTTTTAGTAAATATTTCAATTAGACCAACTAAAAACTTTTAAAATTTTTCCAAAAGTCGAAATTTAGCTAAAAAGGGCCATTCTATGTGGAAAATCGATATTTTGTTTATCACATACCAGGGTTGAAAAAGGCTACGCGGCTTTTCACCCCGGGGCTCGGTGCGGGGATCTTAAGACGTTGGCACTTTGCATAATTCTAGCGAATTAGTGCCAACCTCTCAACCTTAACAATCACAAAGGACCGACTCGGAGTGTGACAAATCGAAAATGAGCCTCCTAGCGCCTCGTATGCAAATGAGGGCATTTCCATATGCTTTAAAAACTAAAATAAAGCATAAATCGTCATTTTCTTAAAAATCTGATAAGCGTGCAGTAATCTACGCCTCGAATACCCCAAAATACCTTAAGACTGGGCCTGAAAAACCTTCCCTTCAAGTGATATCTTGGTAACCCGGTTTTTCAGTCATTTATGCAAAGTGTCCAAAGACACACACAAAGACATCACTTTTTTATATAT